GGCTATTGTGTCGATTCTTGACATAGTTCAATTGCATTAACAATCACTCGCTTGTGTTGATCTACCCTGTTTTATAATGTTTTAATAACTAACTTTTCAACAAAGTGCATTACTTTTTTCATAAGTGTCAAAAATCTCATAGAGTTGAGATCGAGCACGTATATTTTAAAATACAAACAACGTCGAAGAAAAAGACCGCAGAAAGTGGTTTTTTATATTATTATGAAAAAATACACTGCATACCTATAAGTAAGGCGACAACGTTGGAAAAATAATATTGTCTCTTCACCGTTTGGGCGTGCCCAGACTTCCAAAGTTCTCTCGAGTAATAAAAACTGTGTGCCATGGACAGCGATGGAACATAAGGCCAACACGTATACAGTGTGATTCTAAACTATGTCAGTCGTGATTGAATAGTGTGCTGTATAATATTGGCAACCCGTTAGGAGTGGGACAGCTTATTGTATTAAACTGCGATATTGATTTATCGTTTAAATTTCTCCTAGAATAATAATAATTTTGACGATTTTTTTCTTTACTTATTTGAATGGTTACATACTTTTTATGTCCATCCATTGTCCCTTATAAGGGCACCAACTTCATTTTTTCAAACGACCACATACATATTCAACAAACTTTTTTAATAGATGACTGGCCGATAACAACTTTTAAACTAGTAGTTTAGGACTTATGAATATTTTTATAGCCGAGTAGGAATAGCAGAGCGCCAAAGTGACGCGTAATAATAAAAATAACACAACCCGTACCTCAAATCTAGTCTACATTTGAAAATATTAATAACTTTCGAAATACTGGTTCAAAGTTTTTTAACAAACATTTATTTTCTTAGTTGGATCATTTTCTGTTATACAAACCAGTTAAATATATATATTATGCCATTTAAAATGAAGGCAGTACTCTTTAAAAGGTCGAGGAATGGATATAAAAGTATTAAAAATAGAAAAATAAATAACACTAAACAATTTTTTTTTTTTTAATTATTAGTTTGAGNAACTTTTAAACTAGTAGTTTAGGACTTATGAATATTTTTATAGCCGAGTAGGAATAGCAGAGCGCCAAAGTGACGCGTAATAATAAAAATAACACAACCCGTACCTCAAATCTAGTCTACATTTGAAAATATTAATAACTTTCGAAATACTGGTTCAAAGTTTTTTAACAAACATTTATTTTCTTAGTTGGATCATTTTCTATTATACAAACCAGTTAAATATATATATTATGCCATTTAAAAAAATGAAGGCAGTACTCTTTAAAAGGTCGAGGAATGGATATAAAAGTATTAAAAATAGAAAAATAAATAACACCAAACAATTTTTTTTTTTTTTAATTATTAGTTTGAAGAGTAGATAAATCAATCAATATGCATATATTTTTTTATCGATTAAAACATTTAAATCAAAAGTTAAACTGTCAATATTATATTTATTTTCGATTAAATAAGTGGTCAACGATAAAAGAATCACTCTATATAATATTATTACATCGCTCAAATTTAGTGGCTCAATCATTGATTGCTACAGAAGCAGCTAAAAAACTTTATACCATATGGACGTAGTCATGAACCTCCAGTATTACTTTTCTTTTAAAAATTAAATAGATTGTAAAGTAGAACCGATGGAAATTCCACGTTAACGTGATGGTTGATAATTTTATTAATTTACAATTTATACTTAACACGAATACGTTTTGTACACTTGCAAATTATTTGCGGTTTAATAGTAAAATTAGTAAAACGCGATCGTTTTTAATAACGTCGAAATCACTCTGAGAAATTATTAACCACTCGATTACCGATTAAAATTCTAAGAACATGGAATATTTTCTGAATAATATAAACATAGTTACTGTTGCACATTAAATGCAAAAAAAAAAAAAAACCGGTCGAATGTCGTGCGCGCGTGTAGTTTTATTTTTCGTTGAAAAAATGTGATATGCGTCGATATTTTATATCTATGCGCGTACATCTTCGGCCGAAACGAATTCCTCTGTACAATCTTCATCGTGTGTTTTATTAGCCAGAAAAATATGCAAATCGTCGTGTTGTGTCCGGGTTTTTGCACTGCAGTTATCGTCAACGAATAATTTTCTTACTTATTTTAATAAACTCCCTAGTCGGTAGGAAAAAATGTTGAAAATCGCTTGTAAGAAGACCGCGATTAAACGAATCGTGTGAAATCAATTCGGGACGAATAAAAAGTATGCAGAAAGATCGCTCGGTAGAAAATAAAATAATACAAAAAAGGCTGACGGTTTTTTTACTATCGCTTTTTTTTTTATGCGTCGACATAGTGTATAATAATAAATTCTAGTAAACGCAAAACAATATAGGATATTATTTGAACGACTATTAAATAAAAACTTACTTGGCTAGGGTGGTAGCTAGGATATGCAATATAAATGTTTGAGCATAATTTAAAAAATAAAAAGTTTTTCTTTTTACCTTTTAGACGGTTTTTGGGGATAATTTGGTTAGTTTTGCTATTCGTGTGAGCACATGAAAGGCGTGTACGATATAATATATTTTACAGCTATTAACCGAATCTATTGTTGTCGGTTGTGCGATGTTGGGGCTGCTAAGTGCTTTGTATTTATTCTCTTTTCTCGACGTATTTATTTTCTCCACCCTTTGTGGCTGAAGTATCTTGGACTTAACCCAAACCGTATTGTGCATAAACATTTCAATGTAGTCTTGCGTGAATGGGTTAATACTTGTAATGGATTTAAGCGGGCCCGAACTTACACAATCAAAAAGGAATAATTAAGAGTTAACTCGAAAAAAGGCATTTCATAACAATGAAATTAATGTCAGAAGAATACTTTTAGGAATTTGTAAGGATTGTAATTAAATTTCTTAAGTTAGTTTGTTAAATAAAAGTTCAGGATCGGCTTAATTATAAGAGAAATATATAGTCAACTGCGAAGAAGACGCGCATAGGAATTTATTCGTCTTGTTTTTTACAACATACGTATGTTACATTATTGTCAATGATGATAATCATCGTCAAACAATAAATATCAAAGTTGACCGTCGTGAGCGGATCTGCAATTCAATTATAATTGGCTAGTTTCTTGTTAAATCTTTATAAGAATTTCTTTCAGTAAAATTTAATTAAAAAATAAATAACAATGATGACTTTTTTTATGACAAATTAACCAGATAAACTTATTTTTTACGATTTAATATGAAATATTCATATTGTATATTCAATTTAAATAATATTTACAAATTATAATAAAACATGAGTAACATGAATAATTAAACAAATTAGTTAAAAAAAAAAAACAATATATTTATGATGCGAAAATATGATTTTAAAGCAATACCAATTATTAAGTTAGTAGTAATTTTTTCTTTATAAAAATATGGAATAAAAAATAAAGTTTACGTTTCTAAAATATTTGTTCTAAAATATTAATGAATCATTAAAAATAATATTAGTCGTGTTTAACATATAAATCGTATTTTTTTTTTGTTTCTCTTGTTATTCATAATTAAAATTTGTATTTTTAGTTATTTTTATCGGCTATCGTTAGTAGTTTATATTTTTGCAGAAACATTCGACTGCCATTTTAAAAAATATGTGCAAGACAACGTGTTTGAGTATGGACTTTTAAGAGATGTCGTCATAATAACAGCGAACGCTTTGGTAAACGAAAAAACTCATTTATATTTCAATATGTAAACGACAAAATGTACTTTCTAAGCGCTAAACTTCAGTTGAATTGCGAACTGAGATCAATTTATTGAAGTTTCACTTGTACACAGACGTTTTAAATACTACACATAAAGAAACCGCCAGAAATAAACTAAAGCCCCTGCCGTTAATATTCGTTTTATTTACTAGGTTAAAAAACGTTTGAAAGATTTACTAAAATAAAGGAACATTTTTGAAGTTTCCAATCTACTTGCTGCCTCTAAAATTCTACTGCAATGAATATCAATAATATGTTTCTTTTCGTCAATACTATTTAAAAGAGAAACATTATTAACTTCGAACAGAAGATATGTAAACAATCGGATTCACCTACTGGAATAGTTTCTGGTTTCGAGGCCGAGTGGCTTTGTTTTTATTTTGCATTGACGTTCCAATTTATTATTATTAATTTTCGACTACCTAGAGGACACCAAATGTTCGATCTGAAAACACGTGTCCTCCGGCTGACGTGGAGCGACGGGGGAATAGCCGTCGACATTTTCTCGGTTAGTTTACACACTTTGAGCCTGTTGCCGACCGAATAAACTGAGACCGGGTCCCGGGCGTTGCAGAATATAATCCAATAAAGCAACGACACAGGAGATGTTTAAAAATCGGTATTCCGACGTTGTATCATAAACCCCACAGGCTATCTGCAGCAGCTCTCGTATACCTTGCACAGCATCCGGTGCCCCGGTACGACATGTGTTTGTATAGGAATGAAATATATAGATGCCCTTGTTCAACACATTTCTTGGCTCATAGCACGAGGTCTACACTTGGCGGTTTTTTTTTTATTTATTGTTTACTATTATTTTACTCGAGAATTATGCTTATCGGCTTATTTCCCCTATTGGGCAGAGTCGGCTAAATTCGACCGGGAAAACAAGTACCACGCGAGTCGGGTCGTTTGTCATCATACGCAAATTCGAGATGCGACCGAAACGTGTTCAAATTGAATAATGTTCATGTAGAGGAGCCTACTAACTGAAGAGGGTATTGTGCTCATATTCATTTTGACGGGCGCGGCACTATTGATTCGCACTTTTAAAAAATATTTCGTATATTATTATTTATTGTTTATGGGCGACATCAATTCGTTTTTAGTCCACCCACACACCACTCATTCACCGAGCCAGTTATATTATTTAATTATACGGCGAGCACTTAATTTCAAGTCAAGCGGGTTCGATGTGTTGTAATCGTCAAAAAAACTTACAATACTACTGTTGCCGGAATAATTTTTGTAGTAACATTATTCCTTTGAATATATATTTTTTTCGAAATACGACCTCTTAAACTGCTTTTGGGGTTAGTCATTAACGCGAAGGTTTTTTTTTATTACTGTTCACTGCATGTTCCTGTCTACTTTTGACCATTTAGTTTTATTTACTAAGGATTTCTAATGCGGAGACCTTTTTTTTACACGTATTTTGCGCAAAACAGAACCGTGAAAAATTGATTATAATTTTCTTCTACGCGAAAACGAACAGGTATAATGCGTTTATAAATATTTATATTAGCAATGACTGGACGAGATTAAAAATAAAAACTTTTTTTCAATGTAAACGCGTTAGTCAATTAAGTAATAAATTTTAATAAACTCCACATAAAAAAATAGTTGTTTTATTAATTTTTATTTTTCCAAGGGGTTACAATAGGTATTCGAATCCGATAATCATCTATCCAAGTTAAACTTAGTAGATTGAAATAGGTTTCTCATAATCGTGTTATTTAGTTTGTAAAGCCCTTCAATTATTTCTACGGACTCAACAAAATTATGTACATTAATAATTATTATTGACTTTCATAACGACGGGTAGTTTATGTTTTCTGGTTTTCCAATCCGTGTTTGTGTAGTACTGAAGCAGCATTGAAATTATTATTTCATTAAAATCATCAGCAATGCATTAAAGACTGGTAATCATTTACCTTGAGGTACCAAGGCAAAAGTGCAATTTTTCAATTTGATGAACTTGCCTCGAGGAGTGTTCGACCGCCCGGGAAAATACAATTTAGGCTTTTAAAATAAATAAAATTATTTTTCTCTCTATCAAACATTATGATTATTATATAAACTTGTTGAAATTAACACTGGATTTTTAGTGAAATCATATATGATAGCATTTTAACGCTCTTTAAAATCTGGTATGTCGTATCTCGTAACGAGACGAAAAATTAAATTTTTCATGATCCGGTCTTAAATGTTTAAAGGATTTACTGCGGTCGTTGAATGATTCTATAAAAGGGTTGATCTGGCTACGACCAAGAACATATTGAGTTGCTACTCAATCTAATAGCAATTTTACAGTCGATATTTTTATAAAGACGTGTGAAACAAACGCACGTCGTATGTGTACGGGATCCGTTTGCACTTTTCATTGTCACACTGTGTCAAAGGAAGTCCGTACGTGTTTCTGTGTTCGATCGAAGGTCACCAGGTCTAATACACATGACATAAAATAAATAAGTACAAGAATAATGCATCGGTTCATTGTGAATACGACGACTATGAAAATATCGGACTGAAAAAAAACAACAACACCAGTCTGTGTTGAACGGACGAATGTAAACGGGAATCAAACTGTTCAAGGAAACGACTGTTGCTCTCGAATAATACTGATAATAATAACAATAATAATGATTCAAAGCACACTAAACACAGTGCACAGAGGAGTTCTTTCGACACGCGTTCAATCTCGTTTTGCGATATGGCTTTTTTTATTTTTAACAGTAGGAGTTGAGGGGCGTTTTTCTCTTTATAGACCGATTGTCGTTTTATTCTGATGATTTCTTTTTTTAATATAAATTTTAAGGTGAACGATGTGATGTGAAGTCTTCCAATCCTCATCACCTTGAACGTGAGTTTGGCGTGGTACGGAAAACGATCGCTATTCGTTTAAGATAAAACGAAATCCCTATAAAAAGAGGACATATCATAACGCTCGATCGACCGTAACACGAGGAAAACTCACGAAGAAAAGACGTGCGGATTAATGTTTATTTCTAGTTCAATTTTTTTTCCTTATTTACTACAAGTGTTGATTTATATATAAATAAAGGCATGTTTTATGTATAGCCATTCGTTTGTAGTGACTGAGAAATAATCAGTAGCTAATATGAAATCTAAACATGGTTGTGTAGTCTCCTTTCGCTCACACAAACGACATAGAAAACCGATACCAATTATTCGACTGTTAAAATTTTGTTTTATTGGTGTATAACTTTCTTTTTTTAAATGTAATAAAAGCAGCATGCGCTCTGCTGGTATTAATCGATATAAAATATCGAACCGAAATGTCATCGCGCTGGTCCTAAGCAAACGTGTTAACGCAATATCATATGATTTTTTTCTTTCTCAATACAAACAATGCTCTTTTTAAGCCTTGCGAATTTCGTTTATCGGGTCGCTCAAGCCACTTTAGGTCGAGATAGACACGTTTAAATTTCCGTAACCAAGACGACCTGATGGTATCCCATGGCTGTTCAATTTAACACCGTGATTTTTTCACCGAACCGCAATAGAAAAATGTATTTAACGGTTTTATCGACGGCAATAAAGTCGAAATATCTGTACACACAAGTGACACATTTTACTTCTTGTTTAAGAACATCATTGGCTTGGCGATTTTGATGACGGGGGCGGAAAGAATCGTGTGTTTAGACTGAGTAACAAACACGAATAACAATGCAGCGGTTAATTTTTCTGTGATTTGTGCCAAACATCGTCTGTAGCGGACAAGTATATTTTGTTATTTTTGTAAAAACGTCACGCTTTCGTTTCACTGTTAAATTTACAATCGTAAGAGCTCGTCTTGCATATTCAATCGGACTAAACGTTCGGGATTGTAACTGTATTAAGAAATAATGTAAAAATAAGTCATTTGTCAGTAGCCATTAAAAACTTCATGTTTATCTATTTTTACCGTACAGTGCTTCATCGGTTATAAATACGAGTCATACCTACTGAGATAATGGCTGTTCCAAACTTCAACATAAAGATAGTGATATTATGTTTATTGACTCTGGATAGATGTGGTTAAATTTAAAACATAACACGAGTGAATTTGGAATTTGAAGTCAAGTCAAAATATGCGTATTGTATGCGTGAACGTAAAACGACTATGGTACATTTGTAGTTGATAATGATCAGTTTAACCAGTTTATAATTTTAATAACAAAAAGTAGTTTTTATTCAAAGATTTTATCTGCGTGGAAAAATTATTATTCTGTTTAATATTTCAAAGGTCAAGTACTAGTTCCGATTACAAAGTGTGAATAAAACAATTTCCATACCATTTACACTATTAAATAGTGTAAATGGTATGGAAATTTTGTTTTAGCAGTTAGAACATAACAATAAAATATAGATAAATGGAATTTTATCCCAAGTATTATAATTTAAACTTATATCTTATATTTCATTTAGTAAATTAAAAGCTGTTTTTTTTTTGAGCTCTTTTAAAAATTTTCCAAATACTTATTGATTTGTACTTGTTTAGAAACTATTTTTTTTTATTATAAAATTATAAGGCTAATGCAATTTAGAAATTAAAAAAATAAAATTATATCGATAGAGAAATTGAAATAGAATTATTTTATTAATTAATTAACAACTTCTAATATTAAAAACTGGACAAAGACTTCTTTTGTTGACCCGGAAGAAAATATATAGTCAAGATTTTAGTATAAAATATTAATTTCGAAGTAATTTTAATTTAGGTCTATAGTCGATGAACTCTTCTAGTTAAACAAAGTAGCGTTTGCAACGTTCATTGTAATTGTCTGATATAATGTGCTCGTTTATTTAATCCGCTACGGCGTTGTAATCCGTAACGATTACTCATCGTTTGTGTGTTTCGTAATAAATATTCTATTAGATTATTTTAGTAATCACGACGATCCCAATGGTTTAGATACAATGCGATGAAGACATCATTGCCTTATTACGA